GGTGCAGTCACCGGTCGCCGGAGTAGTAGCCGGAGCAATGGTGGCGGTGTAGGTGGGGTGAGGTGAGGTGGGGTGGGGTGATTTTATTATATTACAGTTAAATATTTAATTTAATATAATAATTATGAAATGTAATTAATTAATTTCAGAAAAACCTGATTTTTGTAATTTTAAACTATTGGGCCTGATTTTTAATTTTGGAATAGTAAACACCTGACCCATAAACTTTTCCCTTAATCTGATTGGTTTATTATTCGTAGGCTAAATTGAATACTTAATTATACTGGCCCAAAATCACAATTGGTAGCCCAAGATACAAAGACAGGCCTAGGATGTCGGCAATTAGAGGGTTAAATGGGCTTGACTTGTCGCTCGTTGACCTACATGTGTCGACAAATTTATCTAATGCATTTATATTTTTGTTTGATTACTTGTGCGTTTAATAGATAGTTTTATTTAGGAGGAATAAGACTTGAAATTTAAGGATATGTTAAATGTATTTTATACATTTATTTGGGATTCTATACTTATTTATTGTTAATTGAGTGGATATCAATCTAATTTTGGTTGAATTATGTTAATTGTAGGAAAAAAATAGCTTGAATGCACTAGATGCTAGTGGCACGAAAAATGTGAAATCTAAGCTTAATTGGAGTTAATTCAAAGAAATTGATGATCAACTGAATTGCAATTATAGAATATGAAGAATTAAGGAAGCAATGAAAAACACGTTTCAAGAGTTAAATCCAACATTTGAAAAGTTTTTTTGTATGTATTGCAAACTTTTAGAACTTTAATTAGATCAATTATGAATCAATTATGGACGATGAGGACCAAATTATGAAGATTTGAAGATGAAGGACCAACGATTGTACATAAGAAGGGAATCGAGCAAAACAAAGGTAAATTCAAGGACCAAAATGAACAAGAAGGAAAATACTATGTGTTGCGACTGCAAGGGCAAAAAAAAAAAAATTCAGAAACTTGCGATCACGATAGTTCTAACCATACGATGGCATGGGGTTATTCCTGCCAGAATATTCCGTTTCCCAAGTTGTTTCGACCTCTTCTTCAAAACCAATTATGGCATGATTTATGACCTAATTTGGCATATAAATACAACTCTTCATCTACAATTATAGAGGAGTCTCTTAGAGTAGAAATTACAGATATATCTTGCGAAGGGGAATAGCTCTAGAGGAAGTTTTTGGTCAACAATTTCATATTCTTACAAACTTTATAGAAGTTTTATTACTAAACGCATCCATACACTTTCATACATCTATTTCTTGGGTTGACGAAGTGAAAGAAGAATCAAATGATATTGATGAAGGATTCATTGAAAACATTCAAGACTTTTAATATTTCTTTTCATCATTTTTCTACTATTTAATTCCAGGTAATTTCGTTAAGTTAATAGAGGATAAAAAGTTCTCACTATCAAGAGCAACAATGGTCTTTTGACCCTGGTGCAGCTGGAGAGAACTCAACTCATTGGCCAATCATCTATCTTATCAAAATTGAAATGGTCCAAGACCCATTACAAGTGGATCCTAGCCACACATCGAAATTAAGCAAAGCTGCAATACTTTTTTATCTTCCTCTCATACCATTGACACATTGGTTTGTAGCCATGTGCTCTAATTCTCTGAGTTATAGGCCCCACCTCATCTCCACTAGAATTGTTGTCGGGAATACCCTAAGAAAAATGAACGTTTTCTTCTATTTCATCGATTCTGTTCGGATTCGTATTTTCTTCCGAAAAAAGGAAGGAGATCCTTCTTCTTTAGCATATCTTTCTTGTTTTTGTTTAATCCCCAATTTAGCAAGTAATAACAATCATTTTAAAGTTCAATAGAAGATAAATATATAATGTTATGATTTGTATAATCCTTTTGAATATTCCTATAATTCAATGCATCTTTGTATATTCACATTATTCATAAAGATATAGAATGATCATATGTGAGGATATATTTCATTCTACTCAAGATAGATTATTAAATAAATTAGAAATATTGATCTTCTTATAAAAATAAGTATTGTCGAATAATGGAATTGATATTAAAATGGATAAATGCACGGAATTCGAAGTACTTGTGTTTGTCAATTACTTGGTTTCTTAAGCATTTTACTTTAATTAGTTAGATTATTTAATTTATTTACAGATTATAGGTTGTAAATATAAAACTCGTTCAAACATTCCTATCCAATTAAAGTTTGGTTTAATTGGAACCAGATTAAATACTCAGTTATTGTGTGAAAGATACTCTACTTATTATTTGTTACTTGGATACGATACCAAACACTTTACAAGACTTTAGCGAACTTGATTTAAGCCCCCGTTTGACACACATTCTTTAAAAATATATTTTTTCAAAACTTATTTTTAACCACACATTTTTCAATAAAATAATATTTTTCATCACATCAATAATTTTGCCTTCCTTTTACCCACATATTTCCCACAAAGAAACTCAGTTGTGAACGACATTAGGCAGAGAAATATTCGATTAATTTCTTGTATATCTCTAATCATTCTTCAACTTCCACCATTTTACCTTTTACATCAATTCTTAAAACGCGCACAATCTTAAGCATTCATGATAGAGATACCCTTAAAGCATATAAGTACGGGGGCCTGGGAACGATTTTGTATCGATTCAGATCAAGTTATTAATCGGAGCAAATCCAGTAGCAGAATCATCGGACATTTAGCCCCTGTTTGTCTACTCCGATAAAATTTCTTTCAATTTCAATCACACATTCTCGAAAAAATACTATTCATTACACCATTTTCATCACAATAATGGTAGACAAACAGGCACTTATTGTCATGAGTGGCTTCTCACCACGTGGTTAAGCGGAAGCCATTGGTTTGTACCATTATTTCATTTTTCAATCCGATCTGACCCGGCCAACGAAAAGGACAAAAACCAAATTGGCTACAATTTGGTGGGATTTTCGTGTTGGTGGAAAAATGGCCGGTCCTAATTTTTGGTCGTCACTTTTTATTAATCTTCGATCTTGTTCAGTAGCCTTTTTCCTTAACCTTCAAGTTGGCTATTAGGAATTCCTATAAAATTAGTGCTCAAGTCTGAGTCATACATTTATGTTGTGTCGAACTTTGAAATATATGTTATCAACAAAACAATGGCATGTGAATGCTAGTCGATCCCGAATAAGTAACGACTTACGAACTGCCACTTAAATATCCCTAATAGGTGGAGGGTTTACGAATTACTTTAGAAAGACTTTCTTGCATGCTATGATTTTCTTTCAGAAATTACATTCCTTCAAGTGGGATGGAGTAATTTGTTACCAGATTATATTTGCAGTGGTTACAAACGTTGCTGGTCACCCGACTTGTTTTGTTTGAGCTCACGCACTGCACCTACTATATTACTTGGATTAACGACAATTATAATATGACCGGTCTTGCTAGGGGTACATCACCCCTACACAAGGGGTGACATAATGGCCAAGAGACGCCGAGACCCCACATGTGGGCCGAGGCACCCCTCCAATGAGGAGGCGCCACTTGGCCATTATGTCACCCTTGTGTAAAGGGTGATGTACAAGAAGCATAATTCTAATACGACATGACAAAAAAAAAAAAAAAAACTTGCATGAACTAGGCAAAATCGCCTTTAGCTAAACAAATTTTGCTTTTTAAACCCTCTTTTGAAAAACGCATTCAAAAGCATGAGTTATCCTCGATGATACATTGCTGTCTATATAGATGCTAATAACAATATGCAAACAAATTTTTCATTCACGTTATTATTTCCATTTTAGAACTCGACTAGTCAGCATGCACAGGAAGCTTTCCGATGTTTCAAGTTCAAGTTTCCTGGTCATCGAAAAATCATTTGTCCGAATAGTATTGCACAATGCTTTCACTTTGATCATCTCCTTTCCATAGCCTGGGTTATGCTAATAATTATTGAATTTGATGAACTTGAATTTCAGGGGGTTCACTAAGTATAACAGGACTGATTATGTGAAAATAGAGCAGAGAATCGCAATATAACCTATGCAGTACATGCAAAGGTCCGTGATCTTTTACATGACTAGTTGTTTCGAATAGTACTAAAATTCATAATCCTATTTCTTACCTGTCAAGGACCTTTGGCTGAGAGAGAACCTGGAAGAGCATTTTTGCCTGGAACTTGGCAAGGATAGAGGTAATATCTCTAAAAACTGTTCACAAGTTTGCTAAGAAGTTTGTTCTGATAGTAGTTAATGTACCAGTTAATAAGATGGTGTAGACACATTCTACTTATGTTGCATGTTTCTCCATGATTTTGAATCCACAATAAGTTCCTATCCACTTACGCTTTGTTTAGAAAGGAGTACTGTATTCACTGTGTATCAAACAATGTACAAATGTTTATGTGCACCTCTTATTTCGATCATCAGCATTACGGAATTGAAATTTATACACAACTAGTTGACATGTTATTTTCGCACAGCCAGAGACTGTTCTACTTTAACTCCAGGAACTCAAAGAAAAGCAACTTAGAAGGGCATAAAACAAAATGAGGCACTGATATCGGAAATTATATTAACCATCATCTTTCTCATGACTTACAGTGCTAAACATACGCGTCGAAATACTGTGTAACTAGTTAGGCTTGAGTTCGCATTCAGCCACCTTCTCCCATGATTTGCAACTTTTGTCCTTGGTGTCAGACTTGTACAATGCGAAGCGAGATATCTGGTAGCTCAAATTGCTGATGTTCTTGTCGAGCACATTAGCTTTCTCTTCAGCCTTCTTTTTCTCCTCGTCGGTTAGGTCCCCGTATAGGAGGCTCAAATGTGGCATATAAGCTGCAAGAACATGGAAAACTTATCAGCATTACAATCTATTTTAGTAGATCACAAACAAGCCATTCTGAGAAATCCTGCTTTTAAATAAAGAGACTGGCGAATTAAGGAAAAGAGTAGTGGTCTAGTGATTACTTCTGGTAAACCCAAGAAAGAGAGAGATATTACACACAGTTAAAATGGTATACGATCACGATATTCAAAGTTAGCTCAGTGACTTACGTGTTGAGTTTTTGTAACCAAAATGACTGGTGCAGTAAGCGCTAGCCTCCAATACCTGATTACAGGAATTTCACATCACCAATTTATACAAACTAACATGAAAGCATATGGACATGTTTGGTACACCTTACTCGATATACATCAGATTTCGACTTCCTTTTTCTTGATAATTTCCTGCCATTCCAATCCATCATGTCAAACTTGCCATATGTGTACTAGACTAGTTATGAGATAACACCCAATGCTTAACGGAGAAAAAGACTGCTGTATGCCTGTATCTCTCGTGCAATAACAATTTCCAAATCCATTACCTATTTCTCTTTTTTTTTATTTTTTATTTTTATGTATATTGCAGTGAATGCAACAAACGATTCTTTAATAATAAACACAAGCATCCTAGCGGTTTACAATCACTGTCCAAAAACGTGCTGGGAGATATTATCTGCAAACCAAAAATGTTAAAAAGAGGTAGATAATATGATTTTTCTTCAGTTTCCCTTAATCTTACCAAGCATAGTATTGCAACAGTTTTACGTTTTCCCCTTCGATCTCCCTTTGTGGCATTTTTGAGCAACCAAAAGAAGATGCTACAAACTCAACACAATACTAAGCTCCTTTTTAATACTTGGGAGTCTGTTACAAGAGTTCATTTTTTTCTCACTCCGTTCACTTTATTGATAGGTCTACAGAAAAATGAAAAGAAACCAAATTCTTAGCAACCACCATAAGCCATGTTATTTTCAGTGCATCTCTCCTTCCCACAAGGTCAACCGAGACTACACAAAACTTGCCCTAACAACCTAAGTCATCCATAATCTAGTACATGTTACTCCAATCAAAACAAGGTAATTTAAATTTACACTATTGGAAGAGGTAATTTTTTCTCAACCAATGCCACTTGGGTTGGCCCCAAGTTGTTCAGATATAATTTCATTTGTTATCTTATTCATACGAGCATTAGCATAACAATTCATCCATCTTAACATCTTAATTTCTATTCCATTCATATCCACAAACATTTTGTTCTTTTACAATTTAGAGTCCAATACTTGGTAAAGAAACTGAAGCAATTTTCCTGTCACAGTTGTCTCCAGTCAATATTATCTCTCTCTGGTTTTAAATTATTCCAAAATAATTACCATAATCCGAAGGATTAATACATAAAAGTCCAACTAGCCAACATTTTTATCAGAAAATAATGCCTCTGAAAATTAAGGAAATGAAAACGGAAGAAATTAAAACATTACCTCAGGCGTGGGCTGAAGCAAAAGAAAAACGCACTGATAAAAGAAAGTCCCAGTGGCAACTTTCTCTACAGTAGCTTTATATGCCTTGAGCCCCTCGCACGCCTTGTTAAACATGTCACGTGCTTCGCTCTCCGTCAAGCTAATGGCTCCGACCACGGTCACGTGCGGCTCAAATTCCGGTCCACCGAACTCCGATCTGAGATCATTCATCAACTTCTTGAGCCGCGGCCTCACGTCCTCCGGCGGCAGCGCCCACCCCGAGTATACGTCTATCTTGAACTCGTCCTCACCGGCTTCATTGATATGTACGCTCGGAGTTGTTGAAGTGTCCATGAATGCTTAAGATTTAGTGTAAAAGTCAAAGTGGAATTATAAGGCTTTGACTAGGTCATTTTTAAAAGAATCCCATATTCATTGCATTGAGCCTGTCATTTAGAGCAGCAAGAAAATAGATAACTTCACATTATGAGCATATTGAGAGTTCACCCCTTAGATTACCCAACACATTTTGCCAGCTAAATGTGTTGGTGAAAACTACTTGTCTTAAAACTAGGTCCTTGGCACCAATCATTCCAATATGACTAACAATGAAAAGTAACAATCAATTTGAACATCAATCTATAATTTAAACTCACCAGAAGAAGTAGCTAATTAACAATACGCAGACTCAGTCAAGGGTAAAATCAAAGAATAGCAAAGCCAAAATGAAGTTTAAGATATTATGGAAAGGCAGGGAAACCAAAAACCAAATATGAGAATTTTCGACAAACTGAAGAACATAGTCATTTGACAAAATCTAAGAAACAAACATAAGCATGGAAACCTCAGAATACAATTCCAATAATCCTTGACTAATCAGCATCCAAAACTATAACGGCACATGACTCACTCATCAGCTCTTAGAAGATAGCTTTTCCTTGGCCTTCTGAATCTTCAAAACCTTCTTCACAATCTTTTGCTCTTCCACCAAGAAAGCTCTAATGATCCTACAAATCCCCATGAGACAGAATCAAGAAAGAATGTCACGAACTTAAGAAAGAAAGAATAAGAAAACAGTAGACACGTAAGCTGCAAGAGGAATAATCTACCTTTCCCTTACAGCACCTCCAGACAACACTCCACCATAAGCACGGTTCACAGTCCTCCGATTTCTTGATAATCTAGATCTTTTGTACTCAGCAGGTCTCAAGTGAGGAATCTGCAAAAACACTGCACTTCAATCACAAATTTTACCAACAAAAGACGATTCACCATTATTATAGAGAGCATTTATGTTCTTAGTCATCATACAGTAAAGGTCCATACTATCATGAACACAATTTACAGGTCGTATCAGGCTCTTTTACAGGTCAATAACAAAACATTCTTAAAACGTCTATTATGTATATTTAAGCGTCTTCAACCCCATAACACAAGTATTTCAGTTCAACCTCATGACAGTAAGTAGCGAAATCAATTGCAAACTTGGACAAGGGAAGTTCTTGAAAAACACAGCATTGACATGATAAAATTATTCAGCAAAGAAAGCTATTTAACATTTAATCAATAGAAGATATGAAGCATCCTCTAAAAGATTTAGTCTTTACCATCTACTGCTTAATATAGCTGGTAACTTCTGCAGAAGTCACCCTACCCCAGCCCCAAACAGCCAAGTTTCAGAAACATTCCCTATGATATGCTGTGTTACTAATCTCTGCACCCCACAGTATAACTAATGGTCATTAGTTTTTGCATTTCAAATATTAAGCATGGACTACAGTCTACAAAAACCAAACCTACTAAAATTATAAAGTTATTACAAATATAATACAACGCGCTTAATAATCATCCCACACAACTGTAAGCATAATTTCCCAAAAATCTAAAATACTATATTAAGCATGATTATCTAACATAATCACAAAAAAATGTAATTTACATTTCATTTAAATTTAACCAAATGCGAACAGATATAAAAAAATATCTCACCCCTTGGATTCTCTTGCCAGTCACAGGGCATTTTGGGCCACTGGCCCTCTTCTTCGTGCTCTGGTACACTAGCTTCCCTCCTAATTTCACACACACAAAACACTCATTAACACATATAACCATCACATATAACGACACACATGAAATCGCCCGCAAACAAATCATACCCAGATTTACATTTTTCAAATACAACACATATACAAATGAATAAATAAAATGATACGAAAATATAAAGGTTTTTTACCAGGTGTTTTGACGATCCGGTGTTGGTTGGATTTAGTGGCATAGCTATGCCGCTTCCTGTATGTGAGGCGTTGCACCATTTTCTACTCCTCGGGTTCTGGTAGCGACTCGGCGCGTTAGGGTTACTGAGGCAAAGAGGGAATTCGGATTATCGAGAGAGAAGTATATATAGGTGGATGGCGCCCTAGATCGTACGGTTCAGATATTCCACATTTGGATATACGGCTGAGATTCGGTAATGTATTGACAAGTTAGGTGATCATTTTCTGTCAAGAGCCCAGCCCATTGTAAACTGGAATTGTGAGTTGTGAAATAACAGATTTGGCCCAAAAATTGAGATTATGGAGCCTGTATATATCCTTTGGAAACGAAAAATCAGGCCCAACCCAATTCTCATGATTTTTTACTTCTTAAATTTTTATATTTTAATTTTAGATATCTTCCCAATTACCATATTCAGAAAAAAAACCTAGTGCTTGTTTGGTAGGGATTTTTGGGAAAATAATTGATTTTTAAATAGTGATATGATGGGAAATGTGTGGTTGAAAAAGAAAAAAAAATAATTGATGTGTTGGAAAATATTATTTTATTGAAAAATGTGTGGTTGAAAATGAGAATTGATTTACTGTAAAATTTAAGAACAAAAACAAATAGTACAGAAAAAAATAATATAATTAATACAAATTTTTGAATTTCACTCTCATAGGATGGCCCCATATGAATTAAAATATTGGCAAAAAACCTCACCCACCCACCCTTGCTGTGTGTGTTTTGGCTGGTACAGGAATTTGAATTCCTGTACCTGTAGCACGTCTCTTCGAAAAATTCTCAAACAAACCCGAAAAGTGAATCTCCCTTCCAATCACTGTAAAAAACTAAAAATTCCTAATGCTTGAATCGACCTCCATTCATTAGAAATTTTCTTCTACATTCCAATGGTCATCAATCAAAACTCTGATAAAACTATCCGATTTTTCCTTGATCAATGTTTTAAAACTTTGTACTCTTGATACCTTTAGCTAATTAAGAACTTACATGACAGTGCCAAACATTTGTATTTCATTTGCATCGATTAGTGAATTTGAGAACTTAACACAAAGAACCTAATTGTACTGGAATCAAACGATTAGATTCGATACTTGGAGATGTAACCAATAATTCCCTTTTCAAAATACTCGGTTCTGTTCGATTCTTTTTAGGGTCATGTTTGATCCACATTATTTTTTTCATTCTCATTCTTTTACTCATTTTTAACCACACATTCTTTAATAAAATAATATTTTTCATCACATCAATAAATTTTCCTTCTTTTTCACATCAACAGTAAAAATGCATTCTTTTTTAAAAAATGTGCACCAAAAGGGGGTCTAGAATTGGGTCGAATCAAATTGTGCCCACTCCTACTTGTTCAAGTCAAATATTGTCAAGAGATAAATAATAAAATTTTGATTTAGGAAGAAAAGAGTACTAGCAAACAAGTTGAATGAATAGAGTAAGCTAGATGAATAACAAAAATATCACCAATTCAAATTCTTTCTGATTGTTCTACAGATTTGGCATGTTTAGTAAGAGATTTTTCAATATTAAACAAGAAAATAAGTTTAACATATTATACATTTGTATTGTTTAATCCCGTCCAGAACTACACACATAACATTAAAAATTCTGCGAATTACGTCAAAATCAGCACTAACCCTGTTAAGGAAACAAGCTGATTGAATGGTATTATGCCATATGAGCAAAAAAAATATGACTAATCCAAGTTAACAACATTTGACAGTGCTAAAGAAGAAGAAAAAAGTTGCGCTCTTGTTCGTTGTAACTCATATAATCCATTGTTGTCCAATATTGTGGACCAAACTTGTCATTACAGCATTGAAAATTGTCCTAATCCGAAATGCAGATTCAGACAGGAAATGCACAAATCATCAAACATTGTGCATACATTATCTGGTATACTATTTCCCTAATGATACATGCATAACTAAATAGATTATAATGCTACTGGTTTTGCACAAGCAATTCCAGTCTACTGGCTTCCTTTTATAACTAAAAACCAGAATCTACAAGTGGAAAATATCATTTACTTGGAGGACGTGGAGATTTTAGCAAGGAAAAAGTGAAAACGAAGACTCCACATGGACCTTCCTTCTCTCAAAATTAATGTTGTTGAGTTTTTTCTGGCACCATACTAATTGATCCGTCGTTAATCTTGACAAACTCAGGACTCTTGATACTAATCTCAACTCCACCCGAGAAGTGGAAAGCGCATTATTCGACTGACATTCTTGGTGTTTTTGAAACTTCTTCACTATGCAATTACGACTTCTTGCTATTTCTTTGAGTCTTCTCTCCTTCTGCATTTATGATAAAATAAAAATATTAAGACTAAATGCAAACTAAAGGAAAGGTCACTGAATAGATCAAGAAAATAGAAAACGAACCTTCTGAAGGTTGGTTATAATATCCATTATAAGCTCTGAATCTGCGGGTTCTTGATGATCAATTTTAGCTCCTTGAACACCCTTTGAGACAGTAGTGTTCATGTTCTTATCAGCATAAAGAAATTCCCAGAAAATTAACATTGATCCCCTAATGATCTCTGTTAACAATTCAAGTGAAATTGCATCTGTTTCCTCTCTTCTTTCCTTCTTATCCTCCAAACAATCATCTGCAGGCAATTTGAAGCTCATCTCCTAGTTAGAATACAGTTTCAGTTATGTCTAATTATTTAAGAAATATCTTTTCTTGTCTTACCTTTGATGATTGGGACATGAAGAAGACTTTGAATCAAGCACCGGTTCTTCACGTAGTTTTGAATTCTGGGACCTTGAAACGGTTCATCTTCCATAAATCTTTGCATGAGTACTTGAAACTGTTGAAATTCCTCAGCCACTCGATTGTAAGAGTGAAACTCCAGAGCATCATATTCGAGCAACTCTTTTGCTTTTACACACTGCCAGCAGAGAATTTCCCACGAAAGACAAAGTTGTCCAACATACACCAATTCTAAGTCCTGATGCATTTCTATAATTGATTTAAGTGTTGGATCAACATAAACTCTCTTTCCTTTCATTGGCCAAGTTGGTTTTAGTGTTAACGCTGATTTTTTCTTGACCGTGGTAAATACTTCCGAATCCTTTAGCTGGAGGAAACCTACAATTTTCACCAAAAACACCAGAATTCATCAGTTTTTTTCTATTATTCCATATCAAGTGAAAAACAACCCACTTTTTTCTTTATTTCATCTCTCTGTAAAGATTCCTTTAGAGAACAAATTATTTTATTCGAGTAAAGTGTTTAAGCTGACTTGACATTGATCAGGACATTCATTAACCACTACTAAGAGGAAAAATAAATAAATGCCGATACAATTAAGCAAAGAGACTGTCTTTTAGAGTTTTTAAATCAGATCTATGAAGTTAGAGGCATTGAACAAATAGGGGTAGTTTTAAATTTGAAGTAGGGATGATCTTGACTCTAAAAGTGAATAAATCAGCAATGTAGTCACTTTTAAGAACCCTTTAAGAAAATGTGATTAGATGGAATAATAATTTATTATGTGTGTTGTTCATAAGAAAGTATCAAAATTTATTCCACCACCCTTATTAGTGCAGCGATACACAGAATGCAATACTAATTACTAATTACCAGTTGCATATTAACCACAAAAAAAATCTCAAACTTAGATTTTGAATGAAATTAAACTAAATTTTACTGCTGTAAAAGGGAAAAAGTGAAATCAAAAAGAGGGGTTCAATTTTAAACTTACTGATAGCATGTAAAGTCTGGTAATTCAAGATGTCCAATTTGCGCATTCGTTCTTTGTAGCTCTTGTAAAACTTCTGAATTTCCTCCATAATATCTTTGTACTCAAACTTATGATCAATTTTTAGAGGCTTTAAATCTTCTACTATCTTAGGAGTTTCACATTCTTCTAATATAGTTGGAAGCCCTTTGATTCTGGAACTTTTTAGCTCCATTTTCATCTGTTGTACTAAATGCTGGTGTTCCAACAGGATATCACATTCATCTTCATCCTCTGAATCTGAATCCCACGACTTACTGTGTGAAGCCTCTTCTTGTGAACTGTCAACGAATGACAACACTTTGCTCTCGACTTCACGTGATTCCTCCATTTTGTAAAGACTTTCTTTGTCAATATCCTTTGAGTTCACCACCGAAGGCTCCAATTCAATGTACTCATTATCACTATCTTCTAAACATTCTGAGATTACGACTGAACTCCTAATAGAAAAGCCTGGATCATCAATATCGCATTCTTCTGCAGTTTTACTTGTTCCTATATCTTTGGCTATTCTTGGATCATGTCTGTGGAGGATCACATTATTACCCGACTCAACAAACTTTCGAGTTCTTCGAAAGAACTCCTCAAGCATTTCTGCTTCATTTTCAGCAGCATCTGAACCTTGCTTCAGATCAGAAGTCGAGAATTCATGCCATGTAAGCAATTCATTTTCGGTTCCAGGACCTTCTGAATGTTGGTTTATCTCAAAAGTTGATAATTGGTTCTGTGGAAGCAATTCAATTTCATATGCAAAATCTTGATCCTCCATAGATTCAACTTCCACAGAAACTATCCCCTCATCCCTGAGATTCTCATATTCAGCAAAATATAGTTTTCCCTTTTCCTCCTGTATTTCCTGCTCATCAAGTTGTTTCAAATTTTCTTGTGAATTCACCTCGAAAGAATCTTGTTTTAACGAGAATTCACTATCTAGACATTGATTAGTACAATCAAAACCCTCATTTGAGACCTTTTCCTCCTGTATTTCCTCATCAACTCGTTGAAAACTTTCTTGTGAATTCACCTCTAAAAGTTCTTGTTTTCGCAAAAATTCACTATCAAGACATTGATTAGTACTAACAATACCCTCATTTGAACCCACAAACATTTCAAATTTCATAGTTTTCACTTCTTCCGCGAGTTCACTGACATTTTTGCTAGAAATGAATTGATACTTACTAGTGTTTGCAACGATGGCACTTTGCAAAGAAACAGAGCTCTCTAAATTCTTTTTTTCTGCTAAACCATTGGTCTCAAAATTCTCGGAATTCTTGGACACAACTTGATCACCATCACTCTGAGAACGATCGGCCTTGAAACTTGAACCATTCTTCCCTTTTGATCTATCAAAGCATTGGATCATATTAACGTACTTAAAAGAAAGTTAAAATCTCGTTCGTTATACTGATAAACATTAGAAACAAACACAGTCACCATACCTGTATACATATTTGGCGATGAGCCAAAAACTCTTGAGCATGAACCCATATACAGAAATCAAGAAACTGCTACCAAACCTAAACATTGTTCTACGAACAAACTCACTCAGAAAGCATTTTATCTACATGACTAAAGTGGGTTTTGAGCACAAAAAGTTTGATGGTGGCCACAAATACAATCAACCCAGGAATGATTTCTCAATCCTAAGTAAAGAAAAAGAAAGACTAAAAAATGAGAACAGTAATATATTGTAGATTTTTTCTTGGAGAAGGTGGACTAAGCACTAATTGGTGACAGAAATTTGTGGAGAAAAATTAACCGCTGAAGGTTTAGTGGGATGGTGAAACGTTGATTACGGAAGAAGGTAATAAAATTTCAGAAAATTCACGAGATTGAAAGCTACGTGTAAATAATATTAATGGCGTTCTTCATGCTTTGCGTGAATTTTTTCTTTTCTTTTGTATATTAATTTTGGACCGTTGAGTGTCCCTTTAGATCTTTCAGAAGTCGGTTGGGATTAGGAAGACTAAACCAATTGACACGTTTCCACTGTGGGACATGGGAAGTCAATTTACGTTGTTACAGTATTTATTAAAGGCGTGTTTGGTTGTTGGAAGTTATGAATTAAAAGCTTGCTTCTTCTTCTTCTGCTTTTCCTTTTTCTTTTTCTTAAATTATTTTGGTCACTTTTTGGAAAATAAAACTTGGTCAGGGTAGAATGAGAACAAGAAAAAAAACGTCATTGTTGTGGGGATTTGATTGGATCAGTTTATGACTTTAGCTTGGAGGGTTGGTTTGAGGGGATTTTTCAATTTTATTTCTCGAGAATAAAAATGAAAATATTATGACATTGATACATGAAAGAAATGAAGTCCATTCCGTGTACCATTCAATTTGTAAACTTTATCCGGATAGATTACGTAACGCATGCTTCTTTGACTCAGTATTGGTTCTTATTGCTTCATATTACTTATTGAAAGTTATCTATAATTCAAGTAGTTAACGTTTTCACCCATGTAAATTGACTAATCTCGTTAGATGCATCATGCTCAATGCCAATCAATGGATTTCTCCAAAAACTCTACAAGCGTTGTCCCAAGATTTTTGGACTACCTCGGCCAGCAAGCCCTGTTTGCAGAGAAAATATGCTTTTCGTTAGGTGCATCTATCCACGGGAACATCTTCGAATTCAGTAGGTTTTAGATATTCTACATCTGACCTGTCTCACATATTGATTAGTCCGAGTTCCTACCTATTGTCTTAACCCTCCATTAGCTCATTATGAGATTTTCTAAGTTAACAATGCTAAATAGCATAAACTTGACGATTACGTTGGATTCAAAAGATTATTGTGAACAAAAGCATATGCAAGGAGATAAATCCTAAAGAAATTAGACCAAGAAAAAGTTTTAAAGAATCTTTGCCTAAAAAGAAGTTAAAAGGGTTCTCTTCTGGCATAGGTTCTTCAATCATTTATGTAATTACTAATATTCCATTTTCGAAAATTGTACCATTTGTCTCACACCACAAATGGACAACTATATATTGATTCTCAAAGTCAAATCCACTTTCAAATTATTATTATTATTAATTTGAAACCTTTAGAAGTTATTTGATTACTAGGAATAATTTTATCCCCAAAAAGTTTATTGTGGGGATAGCAATTCTCTAATTTCTTTGTAGTAATTTGTGCCAATGGATTGAAATTATAAATGCATAATTCAATTTAGTACTTTAATGTGTCTTTGATATGATTCTCGATGCTATTCTATATTAGACAGTGTCAGAATCTTATCGACTTTTTTAATTAGAACCTCAAGAGAATTAATACCTACCAATCAAATGCCCATGCACAATGTCCTATTCAATCAAGAGACTGATTAACAAAGCTTTTCTTTTAATCGAATATATTTCAAAATAAATTTATCGAAATGTTGAGTTGACTTGCATTTTGGATACAATAAATATTTGTTATTTTTAATTATTTTATTTGTAATTAAATAAAATATAAAGCATGATCTTTGGTTACTTTTTATAACTTTTTTAGAAAAATTATTTTTTTATGAATTTTTTAGTACTTATTACCACTACTATTATTATTTAGGATTGATGTTCTATTTTAAAATGTCAAGAGGAGCAGCATAATCTTTTATAAGTTTGTATATGTTTTCATTTTTACTCTTTGTGGAATTTTCCCTTGCACTTGGTGGCTCGTTTGAGCAATTCAATCTTGAAATCAGTGTTCTCATTTTTTTATTTATAAATCTGATCGAATTGCTCGTTTGAGTTTAATGAGTTCTGATATCATATGAAGATTTGAGGTTTCATGTTAAAATGTCAACATTATTAAGAGAAGTAGCACAATCCCTTATAAATTGATCTATATTGTCATATTTATTCGATATGGAATTTTTACCCCTTAACAATTATTAATATTATATTCATGTTCGGGAAAAAAAATCGTACTTAAATTAGACCCTCACCAAATTCAAATCTCGATTCCATTATTGACCGCATGTGCAATAAATAATTGTATTTACGTCGTCAATTAATTATTAATTAAAGAAACATGATTAAATTTTATTTATTTTTTACTTTCTACTAATTATAAAGTGCATCTACTTGGCTTGGATTCAAATAGAAAATATCTACCATATTAATGTATCAAATACACACTTGACATGTGTGTGCCACATATGACGACTGCTGCATTGAGCAACTGTGATTAGCATTATTGTGACCCACGCATCCTCTTCGTTTAGCTCAACCCAATATGTGATAATCTTATTTAGCCCATGTTTGATAAGAATTTAAATCTAGATTTAAATTTAAGTTAAACTCAACAATGAATTTTAACTGCATATTTTATGGGGTTCACAACTTTTCAACTACAGATTTAATAATTTTTTATCTAAATCTACTAAAAAATTGATTTTATTCACCATCAAAGAAGGGTTTGTGACACATATATATAATATTTATATTATATTATTTTGTATACTTATAAGTGCTTTTAAATATAAACAATTTTTTCATAATCATAAATTTCATGTCATACCAACATGTAGTAGTAGTCACTCTCATATTAGATTTCTAGTGCTTAAAATAATGCAAGGTAGCATGCACAAAAAAATAAAAATAAAATTTAAAAAATCAAACAACCTTCTAAATTTTATTTATTTATTACATGTCTCGTCAATTTATAAATAATAAGTTACTTCATATTTGGAAAGTGATAAATTATAACTTAAGTTAATTAAATGTCTTTTATTCACATATTTCAAAATATTCACAACTACTAACCACTTATTATTTAGCGATGACAAAAAAAATATGTTAAACTTCATAATCTTGGGCCCCACACCCCGAACGGAGCGAGAATTCCCTGTCTAATCCAATAGGTGGGGTGGGCTGGGCTGGGTTGGGCGGAAAACATGGTCATCAGCCTGTTATCTATCATGTTTAAAATTCATTTCAAATTTAAGTTTTTTTATTAAAAAAATAATCATCATTATTTTTAAATGAAACATAGGTTGTTCTACAAATTGAAAATAAATAAATAAATAAAAAATTTCACCAACTAAAAACATGAAAAAAA